CGCGGCTTTGGCAGCGTGCAGGGCAGTGAGTCAACCAGGCAAGGCGCAGGTGAGGCGTGCGTGGCAGCCCGCCTCCCACGTCAGACGGTTAGAGACCAGTGCTCACTGTGCCCTGGGCAGCGAGGGCCGGGCTCCTGTAGCTGGGACTCAGGAAGGTCCTTTCTCTCGAGGAGACACGTGAGCTCCAAGCAGGACAGGGACAGGAAGAGTGGAAGAATGTTTCTCGGGCAGAGGGAACAGCAAGCGCCAAGAGGGAGGTGTGGTGAGGCGGGAGAGTTGGCAGGTCCATCTCCTGCTGTGTGCAGAATGGGGGTGGGTGGGTGGGTGGAGCAAGCAGGAGACAGTTCGGGGTGGGGCCGTGACCTGGGCTGGGAAGGCAGCAGTGGACTGAGAGCCAGCTCTGGAAAGCAACGGTTTCTATGGTAGCAACTAGAGCTGGTCAGAGGTCACAGGCAGTGGAGACCCACCGTGGGCTTGCTGTTGGTCACCTAGAGGGGTGCTTTCTACACCCACGCCTCCTCACCTTCCCAGCCGTCATGGAGACGGCCCCACACTCTGCAGCCCTACGCACCGAAGATGAAGGGCGGCGGCTCCTCCCGGTGCAGACCTGGCAGCCCGGGGACTGCCGTGGTGGCGTTCTGACCTCGGGCCAGCACTCATGTGCCCCACCCATAAACCTCAGACCACCTGCAAACCTACAGGACAGGTGCAAACTGCTGGCAAGAGGGTTCTACTGCATGTCAGCTCGGGCGACCCCAAGCTCAGTGCCACCCTCCAGGAGTGGCACGGGCCTCATCTTCCTCTTAGTTCCCAGCTTGGGACAGGTGTCGCCTTTAGTCTTAGCCCTGAATCTGCTTTAGGGTTTCCAGCTGCATTTTGAAACAATCCCAGAACCTTCTCTGTCCTCTCCCTTTGGAGAGACGATAGAAGGCAGCAGTTTGCTCCAGAGGACGACCGAGACCTTTGGGCAGAAAGCCGGGCAGGACTTCCTGGAGGCGGCCTGTCAGACGACCTGGCCTCTCCCTAGCAGCTAGTTCTGACCTGAGCTGGTCCCCACGGCCCGAAGGGCATGGCCAGCCCCTGCCACAAGAACACCACGGCCCTGTCTCTCAGCAGTGGGAAGTTCAAATCCCGGGTGAAATAGCTAGACACGCCCCTGGCCCTCGAAGTGGGTGCACACAGACCTCTCAACCATCACACGGAGACACACGTGCCGGCCAACGGAGTCTTCTTCCAGAGAAGGCAAGGTCCTGCCACTGTGCAGCTGCTGGTGGAGCCCCATTAAGTGGAACCGAAGGAAGAACCCCTTTTAGACCACGGGCGCTCAGGGCGGGTCGGCAAGCACGGCCCACTGCTGTGCACAGTCTAGCGAATGGAGGCGGATCTGAGCACACTCACGGTTGATCTCATGGCAGGGAAGACTCAGCTTTGATCCCCAGCTAAGCAAAAAGGTACTCCCTAAAATAACTCCCTTCAGTAGCTGACCAGCAATACAAAAAAAGCTGTACTTTAATGTTTTTAAGAGAAATTTTGGCGATAGGGTACACGAGCTCGCCTGAGACAGAGACAGACAGACAGTGAGAAATTACCTCCGGGGGTATGGCCACGCCACAATCCCCTCTCCTCCTCTCTCCTCTCAGAATTTTGGGCATGCATGCACACGGGCCTGGTGTGAGCTTGTAACCGCTGGGTCTGGGACTCGAACCGGATCAAGTACGTGGGAGTCTAGGACATAACCATTATGCCATCTGCTGGTCCCTCCATTTAACATTTTACCAGCCCCCTCCTGCCCCCCAAAAAGGCAAAAAACTGATGGAAATGGTTTCTCCCAGTTATTGGTACTCACACGACACCCTGGGTTTTGCCTCTTGGCCTGCACATCCTACATGGTCATTAATTTAAGCTCTTTCTAGAAAAAGCGTGCTGACCCCTGTGAGGATGTCAGCTGGACACCCATAGCACCAAAAGCATGAAACGCTGCCCCGTCAAGAGAAGGAGCACACAGCCTGTTAAATAGTAACGCACACTTTCTTTTATTATATTAAAATCAGGCAATGATCTGACAATAAAAAGGCTGCTTATGGAATACTGTTATGTTAAACTTTACTTACAGGGTGTTAAATCCTTAGAACTAAGGTTTTCCCCAGAAAAAAAGATGAATGGAAATATCAATTGCTTTTCAAACTTGATAGTTGCTGCTTCAAAAGGTGGTTTTATACAAATTAAAAAAAAAAAAAGGTAGGAACACAATGAATTGCTTCTATTCGGTTGGCACCCACATGTCAGCATGCAGTGGTCCTGAACAGATGGCGGACTCACGCAGCCGCGTGCCAGGAAGTCCCGCCCGTGGCTCGGGCTCCGCGGACGCAGTCCTTGCTTAGTCCCTGCTGAGGATGTGAAGGCGGTGGCAGCACCAGAGCCGGAGACGCACCGAGGTCAAGGTTCTTTTTGTTCCAGTTGTCAGGTTCCAAACCAGACCCGAATGGGTTGCAAGGATGACCAGATGCGAGCCCTGCTGAAAACGTCTTCCATTTTAAAAGCAAAAGCAATTACGGGACAAGAAAACGATCATTCGAAGGGATGTGTGCTTACTGGTGTCTTCGTGTGGCCTCTCTCCGAGTTCGGCTGCCGGGGGCTCTGCGAGCCGGCAGGTCTGAGTAACCCTGGTGACAGCTCTTCTCATGTCATCGAACCTGAGCGGAAAACCTAAAAACCACGTAGGCAAGGACCACGGCGAGGGTGGCACTCACTTCCCGGGCTGGCGGGGAGCGCACTGAGCGTGGAGGTCAGGGCCTCTTCCCGACCCAACCTGCCAGCTCCGCCCACGCAGGGCAGTGCCACGGGGAGCATCGGGTAGTGACGGTGCAAAGGGGACTTGAGGAGGAAGGAAAAGCAGCACCCCTCGATAAAGGTAGGGGACAGAAGATATGGGGGGAGAGCCCTGAATTCCTCACCGAAGGCCAATTTCAGAGGGGAAGGGGGTTACAATCTATGCTTCGGCCGAGGGCGGGAGTGGAGGACAGGGGGACAGGTGGGATGGCTTGGAGGTGGGGGATCAATTAAGACTTAAAAAAAAAAAAAGAAACCAGGGGTGCAGGTAGAGCACCCCACACACCCAGCAGTCCCACAGGCTGCGACCGGAAACCTTCACATCTACTCTAACGAGCACCCCACGCCGGAGGGCTGTTGCAGGGAGGGCAAGGGAAGAGGCAGGGGGAGAAGGCAGAGACCCCAGGCCATGTGATCAGCAGCAAGGTGATTGTGTGATGTGTCTTTTCACAGTTGAGTTAGACGTGCCCCACCAGGTCTGATGGGGACCAATTTAAATACACTCTCTTGATCCCAGAAGTTCAACTACGTGGACAGTGGTTACACTCGACAGGGTGATCTGTTATAACGCAATTCATGTATCTCAAATGGACAAGAAATTAGTATCGTTTACAGTATCTTAAAATAAATTGCCTTTGAATGGGAGCTTCCTTTCCAGTACTTTGAGGTCTACAAGACTGTATCTCGAAAATTGACTTCTATGGAAAATGAAGACTGCTTAAGTCAGATGGGGGAGGGCCTGTGTTCTTTCTGATTAATTGCTGTAGCACTGTCCTTCTGGCAGCTGCAGGAGCTTCATGTTCTCTTTAGACATCACTCCTGCAGGATGACTTTGATGCTATACGAGTTCTGCCACTTGGCTAGCACTGAGATGGCTCTGGGGTCCACCTGCAAAAAAGCAGACGCAAGGTCACCGCAGGCTCCCCTACAGACGGCCGGGCTGGGGGCTAGCCCCCCGCGGACCTGGGGCAACAAGTTCAAGCTCAGTATGCAGATCGCATCGGTACCCAACCCAGGAGACCCAGTCCCTCCCTCCAACTGGTCTGTTTCCCCCCTTTTTATGCCTCGGGCCCTCACTATTTGTGAGAAGGAAATGGTGACACCAACGCGTGGTGAGACTCAGCCCAGCCAGCTAGGAGCTACAGCGATGACCTGCTCCCAGCTGCCATGCCCAAGGCCGTCTCTCCTGGACTCTGCCCCTAGGCGGTGGATGATAAAGCAACAGAGGCCTGCCGATCTTTCAGGGTAGTGCAGTCCTACCCCAGAGCACACGGATGTCTGGGTTCAGGACTGCAGGGGGAGCTCAGCGACAGCTTTAAACACCCAACGCACAGGAGCCAGGCTTGCCTTCTTGGTTTCTTTCAGATGGCCTGAATGTCTCCAAGACAAAGGCTCGGGGTGGCGGGCGTGTGCACCCGTCCTTTCACACTTGAACAAGAGAACAGAGCTGGCCACAGGCAGCGAGGGAGTAGCAGCTTATTAATGTCGCTGCTTTGGTGATATTTATTGCTGCCACTGCCGTCCTCTTGTGACAAGTGAGACAGGTTTTCCATTTATGGTAGTAAAAGTTCATTTCAAAAGGAAAGCCATGAAAGGAAAAGACTCTATCAGTGTTCGACAAACCAGGCTCTGGCGGCAGAGATGAGGCCTGGGCCACAGCTGTCACCTCTGCGCCTCAGTGTCCCCATCTCTACCTGGTGGCCGGCTGGGGGGAGTCATGAGTATAGAACCAGCTTGTATCAGAGTGACAGCGGTTCA